TTATACATTTTGGTATTGTAGAAATATTTAAACGGCGATATATATATTTAAAAAAATAATAAAAACAACAAAGTTATGATTCAAAATGTGTTATAAAAACAACTCTCAATGCAGTATACTTTAAAATGAATATAAGTTCTTTTATTTTAATTACACGAAGCTGATGTTTTTTGCAAAATATAGCTGATAATATTAGGCAAAAATAGATGTTCAAAATATACTACAAATATACTATTTTAATAGAGGACTTTGCATTATACATATATTTTAAATTTACCAAAGTATGCATTTTGGTAAATTAAAAATTTTCATAATATGTATTTTCATATATTTAAACATAAAGGATATTTTATAAAAATCAATTAAAAATGAATACTTTGAATTATTTTTAACAATTTAGATAGCAAGTGCAGGAACGCCGGAAAGAGGTAGCCTAGGGTAGCAACTGCTACTCCTGCTCTTTTAGCAGGGATGGGAAGGGTAGCATGAGTTTGCCTTTTCTAGGAAATAGATATGGTAAATTTTTGTGCCTTAAAAGAATTTCATTATTCAACATTTCATTAGCAATATTTTATTATCAATATTTACCAACTAATAGGTGGGATAGGTGGTAATAGATTAATTTTTTTCCAACTTTTTAAAGAAAACAGTTTAAAATTGATTTAAATGAAAATTTAAAAAATATTTTATTTAAGAGAAAAAAAAGCTCTAGAATCAATAAGCAGCAGTGACGCAACTCAGAAACAGATAAATAAACCGACGTAAAAGAATTTTTTGTAAATCGTAATCACGTATTGTGTTAAGGCTTGGTTTAATGAGTTTAATTGGTTATTTTATAATTGATCACTGAAAGCTGTCTTTTGTGAAACCTGTACAAAATATGATTCATGTTCTGGTGGAGTGTTCAAGCATGGAGTCGGTAAAGGATTTAGTAAAGGAGCAAATCTACAACAGCACTAAAAGGTCACGAGTACTCCAGTGTTCATAAAGCAGCAGTACTCTAAAGATTGAGAAAAAAAATTTAAAGTTTTCAACAATTAAAACTCAAATTGATCAAATGTACATGGAAAAGCAAACAGTTCAAAGAAAAGGCTTGCTAGCTTATTTTGAGACATTAAAAACATTGCTTCGACCATTATTTTATACTAATTTTAAACATAAATAATTTATGCAAATATACAATGATGAAAAATTACTATTTCAAATTAAATTCTATACTTTAACATTTTTTTTTTAAAAATCTATATGTATATACATAAATTATAAATTTATACAAAAATTAAGTGTTCTCTTTTTGAACAAAACTTCAATCACTTTTTAATGACTTTTGGATAATGTTTAAACTTTTATTGGCTTTTCTTCCAAACAAAAGTATTTAAATTATTATTTTTAAATAGCCTGGATATTTTTGAATAGCCTGGATGATTTAGTATTCACAGGTCAATAATTGACCTTTTAGGTTTGATTTTGGAACACCCCAAATATTTCTATAGACTCTATTTAAGAAACCTTAAGGTTACACAAAATTTTAAAAATTGAATCCTGCAGGTGGCACAATTAACACATTTAAAGGGGGCGGGCCTTTGAAATTATCATGTTCAAATGAAAAAACTTCTGCAAAGAGAAACGCTGCAAACCCTAAATTTTTACATACTAATACCAATATCAAATAATGATGTTCTGGCAAAAAAAACAAAGATATTTCGGGAACATAGAAAATACAACGACTTCGGGGCCCCGACCCCAATTATGGAATAAAAATTTGAAATTTTTTTTTTGTACAATCTTATAGTGAATGAAATTTTATTCAAAGATTTCAAAATTTAAAAAGATATACATAACAATTCCAAAGTTATGACCAAAAAAAGTTATATTCCCTCTCCCCCTTCCAAAAAAATGAGGTGATTTTGTATTTTACATGACCATAACTTCTAAAGTACATAAGATTTTTTTAAGAAACTTAAAATTTCATAATGAATTTCGATTTGGTTTAAGAAATTACAAAAATATTTTTCAAATGCACATGTCCTACTCTCAATCAGAGCAGGTGGCCTCAAATGTTTACTAAAGAGAATTGAATAAAATATAGCTTAATAACTACATGTTCATGCTGGAAAAAGATTTCAGCAATTCGTTTACTTCTTTCACTTTATATCGGGCTAAGGGCAGATACATTAAATCTATTAACAACAGGCTTCATTTTTTGGTGTGAGGCTTCTGTTGATTGTTCATTTTATCTTGACAGAGAGCAGGTGTGCATATCTACGAAGGCTCCTAGGTGAGAACTTTTTGCATGTATTTTCCATGTCACACTGAAGCTTTAATTCAAGAACTAAAATATATAAGTGTATATAAAGGTAATTAAAGTAAAAGAAATTATTAAACATTATACGTTTATATCATACTTACTTCTGAATAGTATGTTTGAGAATGTTTAAAACTATCTGTAAAGTCTTGGATAAGCTTGTGATACTGTGGATCTAGTGGTTTCTGTGGTTCACTAAATGTACCAGTCACAACTCTATCAAACTTCCTAAATGTATCAATTAATTGGAACAGCTCTATCGGAATTACTAATGCATGACTGCCTACATTTTTCAATATTGCTCTTGAAACCTTACCATTATATGTACCTCCATGGTAATTTTTCCCTATAACACTAAGGCTATTAACCCATTTTTTAAAACCTACCCAGATGGGTATAATATAATTACAAATGTGATTTACCAAACTCAAGAGAAGATGAAGTTCTGGTAAAGGTATTAAGCTTATGACTAGCTTCTTAGGATCATCTTTCTTTATAAGACAAGACTTCACAACATTCTAAATGAAAATAAATGAAACTCAATATTAAGTTTTGTATAAAAAGCTCTTCATTAGATTAGAAATATATAAAAAAAATTAATAACCTTAAAATTTATTATTTGTTTCTCAGAAAAGCCTGCATAAGCATACTGACGGAAACAGTTATCTAGGTCTCCAAAAATTCTGAGATTTCCAGATTTCAGAACAGCTTCCCCGTCACACCGGGAACAACTGTATTTTCGGCTGTGAGTCTATAAATACTTTTTAGTTTTAAAATATTTATAAATTTAAAAAAAAAATTCATATAAAAAATAAATTGCAGTTATTTAAGAAATTTAAATACCGAAATTTCCAACAAAATGTTGATGAGTTTGAGGTCTAATGCCAGAGAATATTTACAAGTATGAAGGTAAAGTTTTTCAATTAATACTGTGAGGTTGCTATGTGTTTTTTGCATATCTTCACTGTATGCTAATACAAGAGCAGAATTATTCCAGAGTAAGTTCCCCTATCATTCCCATCAGTGACTCTGTGTTGCTTTGGGTTGAATTTTTTATATGAATTTTTTTTTTAAATTTATAAATATTTTAAAACTAAAAAGCATTTATAGACTCACAGCCGAAAATACAGTTGTTCCCGGTGTGACGGGGAAGCTGTTCTGAAATCTGGAAATCTCAGAATTTTTGGAGACCTAGATAACTGTTTCCGTCAGTATGCTGAAGTTTGCAATAACTTTCATTGAACCTCCACCTTAAATTTTTATTTACTCATTACTCTTAAAATTTATAGTTTTCATTATTCATCTATTGTTTTAAAAATCAAATGCTCAAACCTGAATCTTTGCCAAGTCTTACAAATCTTCAATAACAAACTCAAGATATTTTGTAATATCTTTTCCATAAACTAAATCTTTTTTTAAATGATTTAGTATCCCTTTCTTTTTATCCTCCAAAGAAACATTTTCTAAAACATAGAAGTAAGTAAGCATCTTTGTTTTATCATTCAATTTCTTTTCTACAATACTTTCAAACTTAACTCCATTTTTCCTAAAGGTCTTCAAGAGAAAATTTGATTTGAATTGAATCAATTGCAAACAAACAACTAACTTATTAAACTCTGAAAACGGTATTTCTGTCTGTTTCATACTAGTTTGGCTTAGAGTTATGGGGATTTTGGAACCACATATATAGTTGACAAAAATATTTAGAAAGGCTCAACATTTTACAAACATATACAAACAAAAGCAAGATTTATAACATACCAGTGGAAAACTGCATTTCTTCAACTTTTTTTATATCATTGTTTGAGTATATATCTTTTAAAATATTGGTCATTACTTGGCCTTGAACCTAAACAATAGGACAGTAAAAATTTGGTTTTACAAATGAAACATAAACAAGAAACGTTCGATTTTAAATAATAGTATTATTATTAATTTTTAAAGAAATATATTTTATAAATATTTTACTTTAATATCTTTATTTATGAGATAAGTTTCCAGATTCTTTGATTTCTTTCCAGGGTAGCATTTGTGACGTATACCTTTACCAATAACTTGAAAACATTTTTGACAAACTTTAAAGCAAGCAGCATTTGAACTTTTGCAAAACCAACTTTTCCTGAAATTTTTTTTAATTTGAAATTATTTTCTTTCTGTTTTATTTGTCTATTTTTATTTAAAGAATTGTTTGATGAATTTAATTCAAACTAATTAAAAAAAAAGCGTAATATAGAACCTACCCAGTGGGAAAAAAGACGTTAAAAAGACGTCTTTAAAAGTCTTATTTACGATGTCTTTAAGACGTCCTTTTTTAATCGATTATGTAAATCTAAAAGACATCTTTTTTCGACATCGAAAAGACGTCTTATTTTATCTTAATTTTGTCATGATAAGACATAAAAAATGAGTCTTTAAGACGTCTTTTTTTAGTCGAATATGCAAATCTAAAAGACATCTTTTTTTGACATCGAAAAGACGTCTTTTTTGTCTTTGTCTTGTCATGAAAAGACATAAAAAATGTGTCTTTAAGACGTCTTATCAATTATGCACTTCTAAAAAAGTTGTTTTTTTCGGGTTGGAACGACTTTTTTGTTATACTTCTAAGTATTCCATAGTATTTTATACACTATAGTATTCCTACTTTTCATATATGAAAAGCTGTTTTTATCAAATGAAAATGATTATAGCTCTTCATACAAAGTATGACAAAAAGCTCTTTCCGATGCCGAGAAAAAAGCCTCTTTTAGATGTCATTATAAAAGAGGAAACATTTTCTACATCTTTTATATGTTTAAATAAAGCATCAGTATTGTTCAACAGAATATTTTTTTCATCTTTTTCTTTTTTTTCTGTTTCGAGAAATCCATTCATACGAGCTGGTTACGACATCTAAAATACGAGTGAACATAAAAAACAGTCTATTGCTTGAATGTAATACAAAAAAGAAAACGAAACTTGATAAGCTGAGTGAAACACATTAGACTTACCAATTATTAATTCAAAAAGAGCATCATGTTTCCAGCGCGGTCCTTTCTTTTTGAACCCACTAGGTTAAATTGGGACAGGAGTCAAACGGTAAACAGTCTGAAAATATATAAAAATGAGTGTGTTAAAGAAATTTACGACCATTAAAATGACTGTACAACGATGTATTTTATTATGTAGTACCTAAACCAAGCTAAACATTTGCACCTCTCAGATTTGCTATGAAAGCCAAGTTATTGAAAACAGATATTTATATTTTTCTGTCTTCTATGACATGACTTTTTAATTGAATTTCACTGAAATTAAGTGTTGTAGACTCATAAAATTTAAAAATCCGTTGTTGAATAAAGACTATCAAAACGAAAAGATAATTGAGCTAATACACATTATTCATTTAAACTGGATAAAAGTATTAATCAAAGCTCCATTTTAGCCTAAAACATAATGATGCTTTACTTAACAACATAAAATCATAAAAACTGACGATATCATTAGCAACACAGACGAAATACACATAAACAAAAATGAAGTCTAGAAAGCTGCAATGATGTCTAGATATAAGAAAGTGTGCCTTTCCAATAACATTTTCACTTGGTCTTTTTTATCCAAACCAAAAGTTTTACAAACAGTTCTAAAGATAAATCTGTTGTCATTACTTGCATTTTTTTACTTGTTTTGTTAACGACAGACAACAGTTAACAAGGAAATAACACCTTTAACATAAAAGTTAAAGAGCCAATCTTTTGTATAAACAATTTCATCATTCAACTAAATAAAAAAAACAAAATTATTCAGATCATTTAAAAATATATAAAAAAAAAATTGCAATCTTACTGAATGCTTCTTTTTTTTCTATCGATCGTTTTACTGGCACTTGAACAAGTAAATACAGACAGAAATTGTTTACAGGTTTTATTTTTCGTCTGAAAATATATATCTTAATTTAATATGTAATAAACAACAAAACACAACACATTAAAAAATTAGTCCAATAATAAACGGTAAAACTTTTTAAAACGCTTACCTGTGACTAACTTAATTGAGACTAGATCACATCGATACCATCTTATTGGCACCACGCCATTCACTTTTTGCTTCTTCCCATTAACATTTTCTAGCTAAACAGCTGCAATTATACTATATATATATATATATATATATATATATATATATATATATATATATATATATATATATATATATATATATATATATATATATATATATATATATATATATATATATATATATATATATATATATATATATATATATATATATATATATATATATATATATATATATATATATATATATATATATACTATAATTATAGTAATATATTTTACATAATATATTACTTCATTATATAAATTATAAAATAAACCCACTTACTGAAAATAGTTGATTTTTAATTAAATTTCCTATGCAAAAACGTTTCACATAAAAAAATTTTTATAAAAGTATTTCGTAAACAAAAAACGGGCCAATTAGAGCGTAACAAAGATATCGTAATTACGATACTGTGAGTTAAAACCCACTTTGTTAGGTTCTATTGTCAATAATTATTTTCAATTTTTATAAGCAAATAATAATTTCCTTATTAACAACGAAGTTATTAATAAGAAAATTATTATTTGCTTATAAAAATTATATAATAAACAAATAATAATTTGTTTATTATAATTATAATAAGCAAATTATGAATAGGTTATTAACAACTTAAGTTGTTTCCCAGTGAGAAACGTTAGTGAGTTTTCCCCTCCCCCTACCTAAAGAAAAAAAATTTCTACTGGGTGTTGTTTAATTTAACATTTAAATGAAAATTTTCTCATTTTTTTTTTTTAAGGTTATCGATATAAAAGACGTTTTTTCTACGTCTTATTAAAAACGTACAACCGATTGACGTCTTTTCGACCTCTTTTTTAAAGACGTCTTTTTAAAAGGTGTCTTTTCCACGTCTTTATTTAGGCTGATTATAAAAAGACATAACAAGTCATAAAAAAGACGTCTTTTATTTGATATCTTTTTTCCCACTGGGTAAAATTTTAGTAGTTGCCAATTTGCAAAACTTTACATTTTTTGCAGCTCCTACTGCAGTAGAAATTGCTTAAAGATTCGTTGTTCCATTTCTTTTTAACTGATGTTGAAAGAGGTTTTCCAGCTTTAAGCAGATACAGATTTCTTTTACAGGGCATAGTCCAGCTGGTTACTTCATAACCTTATCATTAAATTCATCATGGCAATGTTTTACAACGAGCTTTTCCAAACTTACTGTAACCGGAATACACTTTGTGTTTTTAGTAAAGCAGTAAGCACAGACCAAAAGTCTGTTCAACTTATAATATCTTTTAAACTTAAATCTCCTTCTTTTCTTCCATATTAAATAAGGTACTATAAACTTTATCTGTAAATTTAATAGTTACTAAAGTATCAAGAGTAAATTTATATATAAAGTTTAATTAAATGAAAATTAAATTAGCAATTGCAAACTTTGTTTAATTCTAATTAATCATCATTATCATTAAATAACAATGAACAACTCATAAATGGAATTTAATGAAGTTAAGCTAATATTATACCATATACTATACTCTATTATATAAAAGTACAGTGTCAAAAAGACAAATGTGTTCAAAAAAGTGAAGCTCAACAAAAAATGTTTATTAACAATAATGGGGCTCATGATATATTCAGGCATTTTGAAGACTAAAATCTTTTGTATACAAAGTCATATAATCATATGGTATCATATGGCTATAAAAAGATAAATGTGTCTAAAAATTAACTGTGTGTTCAAAGGCCCGTCCCCTTTAAATGCCTTAAATGTGCCACCTACAGGATTTAAATTTTTAAAATTTTGTGTAACCTTAAGGTTTCTTAAATAGAATCTATAAAAATATTTGGGGTGTTCCAAAATCAAACCTAAAAGGTCAATTTTTGACATGTGTATTTAAATATAATAAAATAAAATAAAACACTGAATTTTTTTTTCTTAATTTAGGCCAAGAATTAAATTTTTCAGACTACTGTGCGTTTTATTTTTAAAAATATTCTTGCATTTTATTCTGAAAAATGTGCTTGCGTTTTTTTTTAAATGTTCTTCCAATTTTATTTAAAAAAATGTTCTTGCGTTTTATTTTTAAGAACTTTCTTGCAATTATTTTTAAAAATTGGTGAATACTGGGTTCGTAAAAGAATTTTAACTTGCTAATTAAACGCTGCCAAACTGCTCTAAAAAATATGCAAAACAAAAAATATTTATATTTAATTTTATTTCATCTTATTCTTAAAAAAAAAATACTAAAAATCAAATAGTCAAAATATACATATCCAAAAAACTTGGGAATATTTTCAGAAACATAAAGAACAACACAAACCCAAAATTGCACACTATAAACGATAAAAAGGATGAAGACTTAATCACGAAATATTTACCAACAGATTTGAAAATAGTAAATATATAAAAAATATAAAAAATAGAAAATAGAAAACCAAAGAAATCACACATACCGCTACAAACTTTAAAGTTTCTCCTTGGTTGAACAATAGGTGTGTTTGTGGTTGTTATGACGTTGCTATGACGTTGCTTAAATAAGCTATAATACAAATGTATATTTTCATGTGATAAAAGTTTACATTTGTAATATTGTATATATGTAGCAGAGTTTATATTTGGAAATGTCTAAAAATAAATTCTTCATACAAATATCAAAAAAAAAATGACCATAAAATTTTAAATAATATAAATATAAAAACAATATTTTCATATTTTGACCAAAACAAGTATTTTAATTGTAGTCTACCTTAATGTCAAAGCATGGCTTATAATTTGATTTAAAATGTTCTGAAAATTCATTTTAACTTGTTTAACTAACTTATTTGCCAATATACAAAATTATTTTAACTAGTCAAAAAATTTTCAATTTTATTTTTCGGTTTATATTTTTTCGTTTATTCGTTTTAGTGTTTTTTTTTTTTACATTTTTGTCTATTGCTCATTTATTATTATTATTATTTTTTTAATCGTTTTTTTTGTTTTCAAATTATTTCTGAGTTTTACAAGTCCATAAGACACCTTTGTAAACCAGAGTGTTTTTTTATACAATTTTTTCTAAATTAATAACAAACAAGCTATTAGCAAAGGAACAGTTTGGCTTTCTGAAAGGTAAGACCTGTACACAGAGCCAATGACACCGGGGTCGGAGGGTGTCGTTGAGGCACGTGCCCGTCTTCCTCCCCCCCCCCCCCAATTTTTTTCTTAAAGTCCTTTATTTTTTTATTTTATTTGTTTTTAAAGAGAATTTTAGATATAGAGAACTTTTTTAATTAAAAATATAAAATTGATTGTGTCCTTCCACTTCGAAACCCGTGTCGTCGGCCCTGGCACAATAAATTTACTAGAATTTCCAGACACTTTTTTTTTTGGTCAATTTTAGAATGCAGAACCCTGTGGTACTCCACTTAACACAGTGGCGGATTAAGAATTCTTGGGGCCCGGGGCTTTTTTTATTTTTGGAGGCCTTTTTATGGACCTGAGCCTAAAAACGACCATAAAAAAAAAGTCCTCTAAAATTTTTGGGGGATAGTAAATTTGCGAGCCATTTTAAACACATCAACCCAATTTGCCTTGCATTTTCCCATCACTACTCGTTGTTTCCAATTCGATAAGAATGATTCAAGAGGCATACCAATAATACCAGTAGCATAAACCTTCCCAGCCAACATTGACATACGGGTACCGTACGGGGCCCACACGGGTCGTCAACTGGGTCCCGTATGGGAAGACCAACGGTATCCCGCCGGATCATGACCGCGGTTTCCATATGGGACCCATATGGGTTAGCCCGCCGGGTATCCCGTATGGGTCCCAGTCAAATCCCGTACTTTAATACCGTAAGGGACCCATTTGGGTTTGCAAATGGGACCCATATGGGAAACCCATCGGGAACCCGCTGGATCATGGCCGCGGTTTTCTTCCTGGGCCCATATGGGTATGCCCGCCGGGTATCCCGTGAGGGTCCCACGAGATTTACCCATTGCAAATCTTGCAAAACTACGTTTAAATGTTTAAAATTTACAGAAAAAGCAAATTTATATATAAATTGATTGGTTTATTTCAAAAAAAATAGTAATTAAAACTACACTGTCAAAATTAAGCAAACTTTTAAACGATTTTTTAATCATGTATCAAATGCTTTCACGTTTATCTCGGAAATCGGAAGCTTTTCCATTGTTGTTAAAACGACTTCTTTGAAAACCTCTTTACACAATATCTCGTTTCAATATGAACTGTAAAAAACTAAGTTTAACTGTTAGTTTTAAATTTTATTGGTAACACATACATTAATTTTAATATGTTATAAAACTCTTACCATTTCTCCCAACTCTCTTCAGATAAAAAATGTAATTTTCACCATCAAAGGTACTTGTACCTTTGATGGTGGATAAGCACATGCTTATGATTCATATAATAAATTGATAACATTCCTTTAGTTACTGATAAATAAATTATATAAAATTATTAAATAAATATATATTTTTATTTATATTGTATATAATTTGATATATATTGTATACAGTTACCTTATATACAGTGCCGTGGCTACTAGATACAAGTCCCCCATTCCAAAAAAAAACCTGTCATAAGGGCCCCAAAATTCCTAGAAACTTTTCAAATAGATAAACAAAATCTAAATAAAAAAACTAAAAAAAAAAAAATCCTTACATTTGTAAAAGGGCCCCTAAATTTGCAAATGAGCCCCCTAGACAAACATTTTTTAATTGACCTGAAAAAGTTTTGTATTTGAAAGAGGGACATCTATCAAGTACCTAAAATTTAACTGTATTATTTCCTATATGTGCTAATGAATGGACATTGTACACTAGTTGATCCTTATGATAAAGTTCATATATAAAAATATGT